AGTTTATAGCATCTCCGAGCAAAATCCTATGCTTTCATTTTAGAAGACAAGGAGAAAATTAAGGCAAAAGGCGTCCGAGGGCACGTAGTTAAAAATCATATGACTTTCAAAGATCATATGAATTGTCTTTTCRTCGATGATGATAATGACAAGTCTAACCTGTGTAGGGAAAATATCTCTATCAGATCATTCAACCATCAGATTCAAACGATCAAATCCAACAAATTATGCTTCAACCGACAAGATGATAACGGATAGCACGATCCGATAGAATATACATACCTACGCCCACGGACATTTTAAAAATAACTGTTAATATTATAATCGAAAGGAGATTTGTYTTTTTTTGTTTTAAAAAGTTGTAAATATTTTTATATAGAAATAAACTTGTTATTATATTTATATTATGTATATAATATGTATTGTGTTTTAATCTTAATATATTGTTTACACTACATTTTCTAGAATTATTATTAATACATAAAGTATTATAATTTTATTAAAATAAATCATCATTCAACATTCATACATCGGTACTTTAGTAGAAAAAATACGTAAAAAATTAATAATTTCAATAGAGATATAGGCAATTTTCATCACTTATTCTTATTAAAAATAGAGGCTCTTAAGTTCATCTGCAGGTGTTAAGTATTTCGTATGATGAACAACCARGCATAAATATATATATATTTATATTTACACACACAATTAATTATTATCATCATCGCATAATAACAATAATATGTGAAAATTTAAGTATATATAAAAATAAATAAATAAATTCATAAATATCAGCATTTCTTAGTAATTTTTCTATAAAATCATATAAAAATGCTATAATATACGTTATAAAATCACATACAATCATGCAATTTCAATGAATACATATAAAATATTAAAGTTATTATATAAGTGGAAATGTCTTAAAGAGCATGCAATAAATACATAAGTCTCATAGTTTCATTAAAACTAGTATATTTCATTAGTTTTATTTTCTTCATCAAATATTTATTGTAAACTTATTCAAAGTACATTTTCATCATTTTTTTTTCTGATTTTATAGTTTACCCACCGTAAACCATAATTAGATAATTCTTACAACGATCTACAGGTTATCTTGGTTGACACAGGTATTTGGACACAGTAAATATACCCAAAGACCATTCAAATACCATTTTCGATAAATATATATATATAAGAACATAGAAAAATAAAAATATCCTCCTGATATATAATTTATATAATATGTATATAGAATAATTGTATTAAAACATTCACGTAGTAAATCATCATTCATGCATACTTTAATACAAAAATCTGTACAAATTTAATCATTTCAATAAAAACATAGACAGTTTTCGTCACACCTTATTAAAAATAGTAATTCTCAGCTACATTAATTGCTAAATACCTCATATGATGTCTAACCACACATGACTACATCATATGCATAACAAATTAATACACAAATTTGTATAATAATATCATTCATACTAAATTCATATACAATTATCGTAATTTCAATAAAAACACAAGTAGGTATACATTATAAATATCATGGTTATCTAACAATTATACAATATAAAAAAATATTACAAGAAATATTTCAATCTAACTTAAATTATATATCAGTATTTATACATTATAAAGGTGAAAATACTACAAGTTTATACACTTATCTATTATTTTACAAAAATATTTACATAAACAAATTATTCAAGTAATATTTAACTAAAAACACTCGCACACGTACACGACTATATTTCTCCATCCACCACTACACTAGGTTAGTTYCCTATAGGAAAGAAAAAAATCAAAATAATGCACGTTCCTTCACCACGGCTAATGATGAAGACATGATACATCATGTAACATGAATTATTATAATTTTTTTTTTTTAGGGATTTACTAAATGGTCTAAATGCTTAACCATAATTACATTTAAGGGTTCTATCAATGGACAGCCTCCTTCCTCATGAGTTATGACTATAATTATCATGTCAATAATCTCCGTCATATTTATCCTATTTACTTATTGTACATTTCACTATAGATTGTACATTTTCTATTTTAATAAAAAAAAATCATAAATTTAGTGAATAAACTATATAAATATTKTATTCAACAAATTTATGAATAACAAGCTATAATGTATACATAATGTATTGTGTCAATGATGAATATCAATAAAAAAAATATAATAAGTCGTAGATGTCACTTTGCTGTACAGCAGGAAGTGGATTACTGTAATGGATGGAATTAAATTTGAATCCAATGATATTATATCATCGTATACGAAAAACGATTCTGAGTGGAGACGGTTTATCTGTCTAGGATATATTATAGATTATTAAAAATTTTCAAATCTTCGATTTAAAAAGAACATTCTTAATGAATTTCTAGCTTAAAATAATTTGCGAATTTTCGTGATTTTTATACGTATGTTGTCAAAATTTGAACTTTAAATGCGGATGAAAAATAATTGTGCCTATGTATTTTTAATATTTTTCAACAGCTATTGTAAAAATGTGTTAGGAGCCTTGCATTAAATTTTCAAGCTTTTTACCCAACAAATACCTTCTTATCAATATTTATTTATAGAAAAAAAAACTAAAAAAGTTGAAAAATTAAAATGTCAGTAAACAGCTCAAAACAAATCAAAATATTTTGAAAATCTTATCAAATATATAAAATGCCTATTTATAAACATTCASTGAAAATTTCAATTATCTGCGGTCATTTGTTTTAGTTATACCAAAATAAGAAAATTGCTAAATGTGATCCGGTTAAGATCCAATGTTGTAAAACTTTTAATTTTAAACGCACATAAAAATTTAATTTGAATTTCTGGTCGAAATTTTTTTGGTGATATAGATTGACAAGCTTGTAAGGGGAATTTTGCATTAAATTTTCAAATCTTAGATTTAAAAAGAAAATTTTTTATGAATTTCTAGCTTAAAATAATTTGCGATTTTTGTCAAAATTCAAATCTTGAATGCTTCACTCAGAATCTAATACATCTAAAAAAATTTATACTTCAAATACTTTAAACAAGAATTCAAATTTTGGTGGGATTTCAGGCTTCACTGTTCATTTGACCTACTCATAATGGCGGATGATAAACTTCATATATAATATCATCAGCCATTTTTTTCTGTGATATCACTATACGGCAATCTTTAGTCCATAAAAAAGAGATTGTACTATCAGCTATATAGTGTTCAAAACTCAACGTTATCACAAAAATTACATCGCCAATCGCCAATCGCCATTCGCCGTAAAATTCAGACTTCAGAATAGAATAGATGGCTTCTTAATGGAAGTTAATAATGCAAATCACAAATCATTAATTCTATTATACCACTAGATTAGTATATGCCCCATCTACTGTATGGCCGTTTCGGAATCATCGTCCCCAACCATCGACGTAGATACGATAATTGAATAGAATATTACTACATTTGTCGTATAGACGACTTTCTATCAAATCGGGGCCGCGTCTATTTAAAAACCTACCAAAAATTGCACATCGTACTTACAAACTTACCTTTATAATATACATCACCACCGGCCGCCATAAGAAAAAACCTAAAACTACTTCACGAGTTATATATCAGGTAAATGGATTTTAATTTCAATAATTCTCAAATCGTTTCATATTATTTTATTATGTCCATTGCCTTACTATGTTTGGCGATTAATTAATTAACCAGTCGCTAGGATTGGAAATAAGTCTACCAGTGTTATATAGTAGTAAGTTATTATTCGACTCTGATACTAAAGGCATCGTGTATGATGTATCAGTCATTATCCACGACTAAATTAAATTTGTTTTCGAGTCGTTGGTCGTCCGTAATGCTACAACACTTGCGGTTGCAATTTATGAGAATTCAAAAATCCCGCCCTGAAAGATAACTAAATTCATTCATAAATATACTCTCTATATAACAGAGGTCAGCTACCATATTGACGTCAAGGGCCAAAAGAAATCGAAATTTTTCACGGGCCACAATTTAAATATTATACTTTATTTTATTTTAAACGTATATAAATAATCATATCAAATTTAGTTAATTTAAGTTCATAACATTTAGTTTTATTTACTTAACAAGGCATCTACAAACGTTTTTAATCCTGTGTCCAATCCATACTATCTTAGACCTCATTTCTCGATTTCAATTATGAATATTAATTATACATTTTACTCGAGGACCACAACAAAATACTATGAGAGCCACATGTGACCACCGATTTTCTATAAGTACTCCTGCAGTGATCGTGACGAGTTCAGAACGTTAAGCCCATACTGAAGTACAATATTATTCATTTATCAACAAAAAAACAAAAAATAAGATTTCTATTTTAATTGTTCTGGCGATGCTGTGTCCAATATGGTTTATTGATGATAACCATTAGATATTGATGAACCAGGGTGAACTGTGTAGCAACAATAATTTATACATTTGCTACATACTTCAACTTATYACTTTTTAACAAACAAATCGTCTTAATACATTATAACTTATACTGTCTTAATCTAATGTAAGACGCACTTAGAACTTCGGATTTAAAGTTAAGATTTTAGAAGTTAGAATTGATTATTATACGAATTAAATTGTTAAGTACCAAAATGTACACAAAATTCCTATGCAATATGCAAAATTTTTTTTTATAAATTTTATAATAAATATAAATTAGTGTTATTTTATAATTATAATAATAATATAATATATTGTATTATTAATAATATGTACTATGTAGCCAATAAGGCAAGGCAATAACCAATAACCATGTACAACAGCAAATTTGTACACCTATAAGTTGTTTTATAGGTAGTTTTTTTATACTAATGTTTGTGGGAGGAGTTGTGAGGAGTATTATTTTTTTTGATAAACGGTAACACTGCATTATTCCTTGCGTCTATCCCACAGTATTCTATGGGTCCGTCAATAAATAATGCGTACATCATAACATTATAATATATCACATAATATTATTATCATAAAATTCAATATTAATATCAAATTATGAATATACTTTTGAAATATACTTAATTAATTATTAATTAGTTAAACACTGTTTAATGAAATCTAACTTCAATTTGCAGCGATCGTAGGTTCGCCTTGTCTCGTGTGTTCAATTTGCATACTGCATTACTGTATAGATAGTAGGTATGTCATACAGTCAGTGTTTTAACCTGTCTTAGTGTCTTGACCTGGCGGTTCAATATCTTATTTTTCTGTTATTAATTAGGTAAATATAAAATATAACATAATAAACTTTTGACTCTGTCTATTAAGGTGAAAATGGAAAACGTACAGCAAAGTTCCAATGGATCTAGTTTCAATGATTACAACGATGTCAATTTGACTATACGGATTCTATTTCATGGCCGAGTATGTTGTATATTACTTTATTTTTTTGTTATTTAAGAGCATGCTACACATGCATTTGTTGTCCATATCTGTTTACATTCCATGTTTTCAATAGTTTTAATATTTATTAAACTGAAAAACAATATAATTATCAAAATATTTCATATCTCCTTTAAAATAGAGTAAGATAATTGTGAACTAAATTTATCCATTTAATTTTATATTATATGTACGTACCTATAGTAGATTCATGTTAATGATAAAATACGTTTTTTTTGACCCTAGGAAGTCGGAAATGTGATTGGTAAAGGAGGTGAAACTGTAAAAAATATAAGAGATCAGGTAAATAATTCAACAATTTTTCAACCTATTGATATTATTTAAATATTTAAATATTTTTTTAGTCTGGTGCTAGAGTTTTAATCTCTGATGGTTCAACTCCAGAACGTATTGTGACCATTACTGGAACTACAAATGCAATTTGTAAAGCTACTGAACTTATTGGATTAAAAGTTGAAGAAGTAAGAATTTTTATGGAAATGTAAATCTGAATAATACATTTTAATTCTTTTTTTTTTTTAGTTTTTTGAAAGACAAAATGGTGATTGGAATGGCCCAAAAGCTCCTTTGACATTTAAGCTAATTGTTCCAGCATCTCAATGTGGTTTTATAATTGGTAAAGGTGGATGTAAAATAAAAGAAATTAGAGAATCAAGTGGAGCTGCCATACAAGTAGCATCAGACATGTTACCCAATTCAACTGAACGTCTAGTCTCAATTACTGGTACCACAGGCACAATATCTCAATGTGTTTATCAAGTGTGCAACGTCCTATTAGATGTAAGAAAAAATAAAATATTTATTTCAAGCATTAGGCAAACTAACTAGTTGATGTATGGCATATGGTAGTTACATGAGATATAAAATGTTCTATAGATATTAATTATATTTAAGGTATTTAAATTAATTGGACAGAAGAGATATTTTTGAATTTTGAGTCAKGGTTATTTCTAGTTATTGTGAACTATATTTGAGTCATGAATTACCTATATGACATATTAAAATCAAATTCTGATGGTTATTAGACAGCCTTATTTTTTTTTACAAAATGATTAAAATATGAAGTCATAATTTTGTGGAGTCACAATTACTCAAAAAGTTCCTTTTCTCAAACTTGCAATTATTTGTTTGCCCCTTGAAGTGTTTATAAGTTGTAATTGAAGTATATAACTTGAAAAATACATAAGTTGAGTTTATTTTGATTCTCCTTGAGGTTTAAGAAACTAATTTATAGTATATCATAATATTTATATCCATTATTCACAATGTTTGTCGCATTAGTTTGCCCTTGATTTTCAGTACATTTTAGTTACTGATGTTATTGTGTTTTAAAATAACATTAAATACCTAATATATTTTATAATTTTTCAGTCTCCACCACGCAGTGCAACAATTCCTTATGATCCTCGTAGTAAAACTTCAGGATTTGCTAGTAGTGCAGTTGGTAATGACGTAAGTTTTGTATTACTTAATAAGATTTATTAATATTTACTAATGTACATTTTGTTATACTATTTTAACATTATTTTAGTTTGGACGACAACGTACTAATCCTTTGGCTAGTCTTGCAGCTCTTGGGTTAGGAACTGCATCAACTGGAGGTATCAATCCAGCTGGTATGTATTAATATGTTTTTAAATTTATTTTTATTTTTGGATATAAGTGAGAAAACGTGGTTTCATATTAATTACTGATTAGTATTTCAAATCATTTTTGTAGTTTGGGGTGTTCAATGTAGCATAATACCATAGAGTATAGTTTGTAAAAACAATGTGTCATAAAATATATCCTATACTCCCAGGGATTAATGGTACATAGAAAAATTAATTACAAAGACAAAAACAGTAAAGTAATCCTACCAATTAATAATTATAATTATTGTACGGAATCATTATAATAACTACCTTTAATCTAATATGTATGATATTATAATACAGTATATTATTATAATGGTGGGGGAGGGGGTGTAGTGGCCGGGCTTATTAAGACATCGGTTGTGACGCGCACCGTCACCGGTTCAAATCACGGTCATGGGCGTCATTGCTTTCTTGGCAGTTCATGTTGTCTGAAAGAGAGGCTGCCACCCCCCACCTGGGCATGGCAGAAACCTACAGGTGCCATACAAAATTCTGCCAAAACATCCACAAGTACCAAAACCAACAGTTCCACAGGCTAATGGCCCTTGTTGTCAAAGCCTCAACTCCCAATAAAAAAAAAAAAATATTATAATATAATTAATGAGATCATATTATTTAATTTTACCTATTAAAAAATAAAATAATGTTAATGGCTGGTAGCGTGCTTAAACTATATTATAAAGTTCTTAGAAATAATCTACTGTTCCTACTTTGATATTTTTTCATATGAAATAATTTGTTATTAAACTTATATTCAAAACATCCATTACAATTAAGAGGTAAACTAGAAACCTACAGCAAACTATTTCAGGTTTTTTTAAATTCATGTTATTTAAAAACTATAAACACCAACAATATTTATTAGTTTATTACTCTTCTTTTTTACATTGGAAACAATAAGTTTATGGATGTGAAACATTATCTTAATTAATTTGTAGTGAACACAACTTTCATATTTCAAATAACTTATACTTTTTTTTTTTTTACAATTTGAAATACACAATCTTTACAACATAGCACAATAAGTATATATGATATTATAATAGTAGCATGAATATTTTGAATTAAGAAATGACCCATTGGTGACACTTGGCTGGGACGACTTATACTTGAAAATTATTTTTRTGCGGTTGAACTAATACATTATACTGTTATGGGGACTTGAGTTTGTGATTTTAATTATAAATAATTAAGTTGACAACATGTGTTAAACCAGTCTATCTTTGTATAATTTTGTATTAAATTAAAATATAYAAAACATTATATTTTCAGCCTTGGCTGCATTGGCTGGAAGTCAATTGAGAACTGGTAATCGTCAAAACCGAAATGGTGGTGGGGAACATAAAAATCAAAATTCTAATTCAAACACTGAGACAATATCAATGACTGTACCAAACGATTTAATCGGATGTGTCATTGGCAGAAGAGGAAGCAAAATTGCAGAAATACGGTAAGTTGTGTCATAGTATCCTATCTTCAAATAAAAATGTATGTTTTTTATAATTCTTTGTTTACTTTTAAATCAAAATATAATTTATCTGCATTTAAATAACAATCAATTTAAAAATAAATCTTTATATAAACAATTAGAAGAATAGTTTTTATGAATAGATCTTGAGTCTAGATTTATGTATTAATCATATTAATGGTAATATTTAAAATTAATTTTTCTACTTAAAAAAAATAATAAGTAGTAAATATTTTATATGTATGTATTTTATATAGACAAATAAGTGGTGCTTTAGTACATATAGCTAAAGGTGAAGGAACTCATGAAAATGGTGAAAATGAAGATCGGCATATAACAATTACAGGAAACAAAGATTCTATATCAGTTGCCAAGTACTTAATTGAAATGAGGTACAATTTTATTATTATATTTAAGACAATAATTATGGGATCATAGTTGAGAATCCTAGTGTTATCATTAAATCCCTCGTATTGTATTATATGTCCTTTTTTATCACTAATCCCAATTTCTTCTCTAGTGTGGAACTGCAGAAAGCCAATCTTGAGGGGGCAAACTCATCCTCTAGTCCTGATGATGGATCCAGCTCAACCTTGCCCACTCCTCCAACAGTGGCCGCATCTCCTTTGTCGTCCGCCATCCCATTGGCTCAACTATTTGCCAAGCCGGGTGCCATTAATGCCTTATCCAGCTTATCTGCTCTTGGCGGCCTAACCGACCTCTTGGGAGCCTTATCTGGCGCCAATCAATCCCCTCCGATACAGACCACAGGTGTCCATCGTCCGAAAAATTATTTCCAGAGAAATCGCAGTCCTTCGGGCGAAAAAACCAAAGCGGACAGGACCAAGTTTGCTCCTTACTAAATGCTAATTGATCCCAAATCCACCAATTATTGCTATTCGTACTAATGTTTTGTCCTACCCATCTTCATCTCTTTATTTTTATGTAGTTTTTTTAATTATTTTATAATTTATTTAATAATCATTTAGAAAACTTCTGATTTTCAAAAGTTTGAGGATAATTTTAAAAACATTTTATTTGTTTTTAAAATATTTTTAGCAAGGTTGATTTTCTTTATGGAGTTTAATTTAAAACATTATAGACAAAAATCACTTTCATGGGTGGAATTATTGCATTTTAAGGTTTTAATATATCATTTTTATTTAATATATTTTATTGTGTCCAATTTATAATGTTTCACTTTTTAGTTTAAATTGTTTCCAATCACTGCTTATAGCTTATACCTTTAGTTCTTACATTATATTTTTGTAGATCATATTGATAATATATCTTGTATTTATTATTATTTATTTCTTAATTTTTAACAAATTAGTATGAAATCTAATAAATAAAATCTGTTCTGCTTACATTTATTGATATTATATATTTATAATTATAGAATGTACTTAAGGGTTTTCAAAAAATAATAAGATAATTACTCGCTTCTTTACTACTTTGTGTAGTTATCAAATAACATGTTGATGCTTCAACTTATCATTTTTATTATTTATTATTTATAATTAAAAAGGTATCAGTGTTAATATTCATTGAAGTATTAACTTCATTATTTGTAAAATATGCATGCCTTAATTCTTATAACTTGTAAGTTAAATAGAATACACACACATATATATATATATATATAAACATAATCTTTTTTTATTTCAAAAGTATCCTTACAAACATCTTGGAATTAAAAATTTGGCTCTTAATTTTCTTTATTAAAAACATTAAGTTATTTTAATGCTAAATGGAACAGTTTAAATATGTTCTAGGGAATACTCTTTCAATATGCTAGTTAATATCTTATATTGTATGATCTATGTATTTCTTACAATAATCAGTTCTTAGTTGCTTATCCCCTAATGTATATGTATGCTATATTATACTTTAAAATAGTTTATGTGATAAATGAAATATTATTAAGTATAAGTATAATAGGCCCTCTAATTTATTTTATTTAACAATAATATATTGTATTATTTTTTATTACCTGAAACATTTAAAAAATAATTTGTGTTTTTAAGTAATAATGTGTATTTTAAATAATTAATTTTATCAGGACATCTCACTGCTGCCATTAATTTTTATTCTGAAATAAAATTGAACTCTACAGAAAATTGTTAATAAATTGTATAGCACACTTCTTAAAAATTAAATCCTATATTATTGTGAACTGTAATTGAAAACTTAAAAATACTTAAGGAAAATGTTCTGTACAATCTATAGAGTTTTTTATGAATTCAAATATTTTTTTTGAATCAAAATCAGATGTCAACAAACTTTAATTTTGTCAAAACTAAAGGTCTTTAGCTAAAATTGACATCAGTAGTGAGGCCCCTTAATTTTATTTCATTTTTTGTCATATGCTCCCTTCCTTATGCACAATATCATACTAGTTTCATATTGTTGAAAACTCTTCATTATTTCTGCATACACATACTAGATACTAAATCTAAAAATGTGGTACGTAATATATTGAATAGGTATTGTGTCTGTAAAAAATCACATGGAGATGAGTTTCATTTTCGACAATAATACTTACTCTTTTGGTGTATGTGTAAACATAGTTATTGGCACTTCTATGTATGTTTTGTCCCTGTTCTTTTAAAAAATGTCATCAAAATATTTAAGAATATGAGCAAATAAAATTATAATTATATATCTTGTAAAAATTGTTGTAGTTTTGCCAAAACTAAATAAATTAATATTGTTGTCAATTATATAGCAATGTTAGTTCTTATACATTATGATACTGTATTATTTTACGTTTTGCACGTGTGTAACATGTACCCACACTCTAMACATATTATAATTACAATTGCACCATAATAATTATTGAAAATAAATAAATTATATTGTTATAATAAAAAATCAGTAATGCACAGTAAATATTAGCGTTTTAAACTTATCATTATGCTTACATCCCAACTTGAATAATTTTCACAAGATAATTCTGGTTAAATGTTTGTCAGAAATATCTTTTAAGTTTTTAAAATATCAAAAATGATAATTATATTTTCCATTCTTACTTAGATATTGTGTTTGACTTTAAATGGCCTTTAATAATATTTTATTTACTTTATATTTTAATTTAAAATTATATTACATTTGTAATTAAACTTATAAATTGATTTTACATTTATAAAAATTAAAAAATTAAAATTATAAAACATTCTTAGTACTAGGTTTTAAAAATAAAATAAATTATGTATAAAAGATATACAAATTGTGTAAAATAAATTAAATGTTCTTCAATTATTTTGTGATAAAAATATTATATATGTATTTAATATAGTATTATACAATTTGAATCTGAAGATGGCTTTTAATCGAAACTGGTTGTTACCAATAAACATAATTACTACTTTCAAGAACTTTGTGTTTTATTTATTTGTAGTATTATTTGTTTTACTGTATTACAAGTATAAAAACAATAAAATTAAATTGAAAATCTTTACTTTTCTAATTTATCTGCTTTGTGTTAGAACTTAAACTAATCTCCTTATATTCGTAAATGTAAAAATATAATAAAATAATGAATTTATTTTATTTCATTTTTAATTGTAAAATTATTGTAATACATTTACATTCATAATAAAATAAAATTTAAATAATAATCATAATAATAATAATAATAATACTTTGTATGTTTTTTTTTTTTAGTTGATCATAAAGTGTATTGTTTACTTTTAGACTTTTTTTGGAATTAACTAAATCAATTTTTTCCTTAATCCCACTTTGTGGTCTGTTTCTATACATTATAATATGACACTTTGGTAATACTGTCTACCTGCGAAGTGTAAACTATTTATAATCTTCCACTAAATTTTTGCTTTCTAATGTATAAATAACTACTTTTACGAATATTATCATAATCCTTATTGATGGTTATTAAATATGATCAAGTAAGCTACTTTATTCCTGAAAAATCCATCAAGATAACACACTCAATGGGTAACTTATATTTAAATTGTATGCTTAAATTATTGTTTCTAATTTTATTATGTGAATGTCATTATTCTCCTTTTTATTTTACTGAAAATGCAATCCACTATTTAAAATCATTATTTAGCTATTTTAGATTTATATTTATATTTACTAATCTCATTTTTTATATCTATTTATTTTTAGAAATATTGGTCGAGCTGTTGATGTGTTCTAAGTGTGAGTATTTATAACAAATATTTCAAAAAAGATGTCATTGCAATACTTTTTTTTCTCTCTGACCCATGCACAAGGTATCAAATTAGCGTCCAACAAAACCAACATTATGTCATATTTAGCCATATAAAGTGATTTGACTTAAACTCAAAGTTTAAGAACATTATCTGTGTTTTTACTTTGGATTTTTTACAATATTTAAATTTATAGTGAGATTTAGATATTTTTTATCTATAACATTTTACATACTCATCACCATAAGAACACTTTCAATAAAAAAAAAATTTAAGGATACTTAAGATATGCATATTTTTTTTTTTTTTTTGTAAGGAGAAGTTTTTGATACAATAAACATGAACATTATTTGAGGGTACCTACTAATTATTATATTCAAGCACAGATTATTTTTGTTTAACTTAAAGTTTGAAAATTGGTCAAACACTTTAACAACCTGCGTTCCACCAGCTTTATCTCTGATGGATCCCTCAGAGATTGCCAAAATTATTGCAATCTTAACAATTATACCAAAAATAGTAAAATAATAATTTCATTTCAAATATTTATAGACGATTTTATGGATTCCCAATGATCCACGAACCACAATTTGGGAAACTACTCTATACTGAAGCTAGCAACTCAATGTTGGTTATACAGGATACAAACTATTGTCTATGGATTAAAGAGAGAAAACAGATTAGAGAGTGCTGAAATCAAAATACATTCAGGTAATGTAAATATTATTTATAATTAATATAGCCATTTTATTTATTTTTTTATTAATTACCCCGCGGCAACTTAGGCCATTGGGAAGGGGGTGGTACTGTAGGTTTATGGAACGATAGGTGTGTTATAGGTGTGGATGAGTCTTTGACAGAATTTTTATCGGGGCACCCGTAGGTTTCTGCCATGCCCCGGAGTATGGCGGCACTTGTTATCCGGACACCGTGACTTGCCCGGAGAAAAATGTCGCCCGATGGTCAAGGATTGAACCCGGTCCGACTGAGCCACAGCCGACACGTTAGACCGCTCGGCCACCTCGTCATCCCATTTTATTTATATTTATATTGTAAAAGTATAAATAATAAGAAAAARTTGATTGGTTACTTTCATTATTCTTGATAATAAATTTTTGTTCATTGTAATCAGAAAAAAATGAGAAGTTTATTACTTGGGTAATTAAAATTTTTCAATATTTGTTGATTTCATTTTTTTCTCCACTTTTTTAAGAAAAAAACTAATTCATACCAATAATATATATAATTTAGCATAATATCATATCTATACAATATAAATAAAATATTATATATTATGTCATATTATTTTAAAGTGTTAAATTCACTTTTTCTGAATTAAAATTTTTTTTTTTAATGACTTATATAAATGAAACTTAATATAAAATTATATTCTCACTCAAACCATTAATTTTAAAATTTTCATCAAGAATACTACCAGATAACACTTTACTTAAAGACTTATGAAAATTAGTTGACTTGTCCAACCTTTTCCTCGTGTATAATGTATTATGTATAACCATATAGTGTATCAAATATGGATCTTATAATTGGCTTAGTTTTTGTAATAAATTTACATTATAACAGAAAAAATTAAGTATTATGATTAAAAATAATGTTCCAAGTGAATTTAAGCATTTAAAAAGATGAATAATTTTCATTTTTAATGTACTGCAARTCTGTGAATGTTGAAGTGATAAAGTATCAAAATATAAAATACATTTTACATTATAATTTAGCTAATCAGTTGGTTACATAGTCTTACTTCTTAATATTTTTTGATAAGTTTTATCATTTAAGCAATAATGTTACTCAAAATTTGGGAAAAGCACATGTCAGATGAAATAATGCTTTTGGAGTAGATACCTGTATAATGTGTACAAGATTTAATAATACAATTTGTGATAGGCATACCTACATTTTACTTTTATTCATACTCATTGAATTCATGGATAGTCCTGTATCTGTTAAAAGAAAATGTTGATAAATTTCAAATTGACAAAATGCATCAAAAATATTTTAATAAACTAAAGCAAACAGATAACTAAATTGTTATGTTTATCAAAAAAAAAATTCAAATTATACTCATTATGAAGATAATATAATATATTATATTTGGTACAACAAATTATCATTAGGTTTGGTAAATTATCATATTAGCTTTAAATTGTTTAATCTCATATATGAAACTGGTAATTTGAATTGTGAATACAAACATAATTTTTTGTGTAATATGTTTTACTGTATTTATTATTACTAATTATCATATAATTTTAATGGAAAAAAAAACTCTTAAATTAACTATTATTAATTATAATTTTATTAGATATTACACATTTATTACATTTATTATATTACTACTCTCCCATTTTTACATATTGTATTGATGAGTAATAGATTCTAGATAGGTTGATAAAATCTATCGACAATATACAAACAATAATTATTTTTTTGTTTTTTCCATCAATGTTATATAACTAAGTATTAATTATAATTCATAATTATTCATATAATAATAAATTAATTAAAACAATTATCTATTTGTATTTGTTGTTCAAATTATATGTATATAATGTAAAATATTTTATAAACATGATAATATTTATCTTACATTATCCAGTTTAATAAGTTTTTATTTATTTTTTAGGTATTGACATTTGTTATATTTTGGTTGATTTATTCACAAAAAGATATCTTCCTTTGAGATGACCAATTGCTAGTGGAGAAATGTGGCTAAATGTGGCCATACCTTGTACCTATTAGTTATATTTAATAATCAATTGTATTTACTCCCTTAGTGGCTTAGTTAATTGAAAGAAGTTGCCAAATTCCTATGATTTTCATCTATAAATATTACATCATATAATTAACAAAGAAGAAATTATTGAATTAATAAGTTTAATCATTAATAGTGACATATTAATTATAATTCAACAATTAAAAATTTTAGCTGTCTATAATTACAAAAGAATATTGTGATTTATATTGATTATTAGGATTTTTATGAAGTTTTCTTAATTCACTTAAAATATTTCCGATATTATTATTATTAAATTATTCATGCAACATTTTAAGCTTGGAACAAAAATGCAGTACAGTATGTATCTTAAAATATCTATCTTTTTAAAGCACTAGCTTATGGTGAAGATAAAAAGTTACAGCAGCAGAGAATGATAAGAAAATTACATCAAATAAATTATTTAATTGTTTTTTAATTTGATTGATAATTGTACTTAATATGTCATATTCTGTGAACTTTTTATGTTACAAAATAAATATTTTTATTGAATATAGTTATTGTTATTAATATATTTTCTCTATTTTTCTTTACTTTTCATACTTTTAACATATCAAATATTGTGTTCATTTTCATACTTTATGATTTATGAGTTTATTATTTTTATTAACTATGTAAGCCATTTATTGAGTTATAATATAATGATAACGCAATAATAATACATTGTAAAAATTACCTACCTACCTATTAACATTAGAAATGTTATTTTAACATTTTGTCATTAATAATATTTTATTTGTTTTAATATAACATTATTAGATTTTTTTCAAATTACAAGACAATTATTAATAATTAAGATTTAATGATAAAACAAATAAATATTGAATATTTAAATTTGAATTCATTTTCTCGTAACATTTTTAAATTCAAAAATAATAATGTATAGTGCACACTATATGTATACTAATATTTTATGTTTTATAATTTTGAATGTTTTTAAATTCATATCTATAKGTCACAACTAGGGCGCAGTTTTAAATGCAATTAGTTATATTTTTTAAGTCTCAAACTCAAAACATGGTGTTGTGTAGTGTGAATAAGCACACAAATCAATGGAACATATTTTTTTAACTTTAAGTACATCATATCGAATATTCCATAAAAGGAAAAATTAAAAAGTGTTAATTATTATTTTATGTATTTTTTTAGCCATGTGGCAATGTATCAGACAAAAGTGTGAAAGACTGCACAACGGTCTGTCAATAGAAACCTAATGTTAAAAACAAACTAAGGTAATTTTTAGAAAATTTTATAATTTGATATAAGTAAATTATGCAATATGTAGTATTTTTTAAAGGCATTTTCTTACTTAAATTATATTTAAATCTGAGCTCTAATCATAATTCACAACTCAAAAGTAAAATTATATTATTTATTAAATGTGTAAATTGTAGTTAGTTGGTTTGTATCAATGTATCATTTAAATATTTAATATACTTTATTTAAGTTCATAAATTTGTGTTATATGTACACAAACATTTTTATAAAAAAAACAAGTAAAACTGTGATTTTTACTTGACATAAATAGTAATAAGTGTGGTTGTAATTCAAAAACTAATCATTTGTGATGCACAATAAAATCTTAAAAATATTTAGACAAATTTTGAGCTAGGCATTTTCCATCATCTGATATTTTTAAATTCACATTTAAAGTTCAACTTTTTCTAACTTAAGTTATTCAAAATGTATTAATTTTTTAATATCAGCAGGTTACCTTGTATAATTGTATAATGCTTATGTCCAAAAATACTAATTTTTATGGGTTTAAAAATAAATTATAATATGGAAAGTCGTAAAAGTATTCAATATAAAATTGCGACTAAAGTATAATTAACATTATAATATTATAAATGGCAGACGGCGCTTTGTGTATGCAATTTAAGGCCACTGATTTATTGTTTATCACTATAATGCGATAAAAATATTATGGGATTAAATTGTTTGAAGTTTTTTAAAGGTGGAAAATACCATGGCTAAATATATTATCCACGGAAAATATTGATAAACAGTTTTCAAAAACTATTTTTTGTATAATATAAATAAAAATACTATGAACGCTTTTCTGATAAAAAACTATAAATTTTTTTTTTTTATTAATTAACCCGCGGCAACATAGGCCATTAGGCGTGTGAAGAAGGGTACCGTAGTGTGTAGGTTTTTGGGTTGGGTAAGTTTGTTGGTACACGTGTGTGTGGTTTTTGGCAGAATTTAAAATAGAACAATTTGTTAAATAGAACTTTTGTAAATAGGCACCTAATATTTATGTTATATTAAATGTAACATTTATTAAAGAAGTGGATTTTTTACGAACATATTGACTATGTCTCCGCAATATAAACTGTAAAAACAATAGTTTCACCTTTAATTGGGATTATTAAAACATTGTTATACAAATAATCAACAAACATTTTATAAGTATATAAGTATACAAATTTTAATAAAAACCAAAATTTAGAATACAATATCATTAAACCGTATAAAAATATTGTGCCTACCTATGCATAAAAATTTATTGAATTGTGTAAGTACCTATTTTTAAATCTAAAATTAATGATTTAAACTTACTTTATTAGTGTGAAGTAAGTCCTACTTCCTATAGATACCAATTAACATGACAACAGTTAGTTAACCGTTACAACATAAACTTATTTGTATTTAAGATTAAAATACATAACCTGTTTTATTATATAAGGACATYGTATTTAAAACTAATGTCCAACTATGCGTTTAGTATTCAATAAATCTATACAAAATCAAAAATCACGTACCAATAAATTATAATGTTCATTATATATAATATCTATTAAATTTCTATTTAAATGAATAAAATACTAATATAAACCTACGCATGTTTGATTATTTGTTAATTTTATTCCTTGAGTTGTACTATACTCTGTCCAGCTAGAGAATACGTCGTGGCCACACGAAAATCGGTTCTTCTGTGCATCYCTCCACGACACCCTGCCACCAAGAACGATTCTACCGTGACAGGGTGATGCGTAGACGGCGTGGTCTCTCGCTGGACAGAGTATTGATACAAAAAATGTTTGAACTGACGAAAAAGTGCTCAGAAYTTTTACCTACATAATATATGTTTATCTATGTATTGCTTACGGAAATCGAGTCAGGATGGTACTATGGAGAGTTAATTTTTAATTTGTTGGTAATTTCTCAAGCTGCATAATTTTTCGTGATTTTTCGTTATTTTTCACTTCTTGTTTTGTTTTAATTTTGAAATCAGAATTGTATTCCTTTTCTTCTAACTTGTATGTTTACTTCCATAATTCATTACATTCCTTTACCGGTATAAAAAAAATCTAAATGTGTGAAAATATGATCCTCTAGTACACATAAAAATTCCAAAAACCAGAAYTCGATTCAAGTCCGTTAATAGAGTAAATGATGTGCAGGGTGAGCATACTTACGGTRAATCATCCTGTATTATATTATAAACCATAATTTATTACGTATAATAGAGACAATAGACAGAATTTAAATATTAGGCATACACCTGACCAGTGACTAGTCATTCATTAATTACGAGGATCGAAATCGCTTGCGGGAAACTACCGTTAAGCCTATAAATAATAATTACCTACCTATTCGACCTGTAGTGTTATGCATAATAATATTMAAATTTCAACCAGTCACCATGTTCCAATTTTACAGTTCATCTTTATGACTTACATAATAATGATATTATTATTATTAGTATACACACTCCCATGTATATATATATGTATATGTACCTACTGTATATAGGACGCACACGGAGATCTCTATTAAATCACAAACGACGGCCTTGATTGTGGTTTATAATACACAAATATGTAATAGGTAATCGATACAAGGTAGGATGGGTAAGTAGAAGGTATACTAAAGGTGGGTGTATCTTATTAGTCTGTGACTTCAACTCGATCACCAAAAACAGACCGTTAACCAGTAACCACACGTACCTACGCATGATGTGTATATTATTTTGAAAGAAAATGTTATTTTTCCCTTTTGAATTTAGTTATATGTATTATACATCTTGTTGTACACGTGTATATTACCACCTATATGGCTATAAATATATAAATTATACATAATATATTATGCACCCACTTGCCATGTTAATACATATCAATAATAACACAACAGCGATGTAATTACCAGCTGGGAGGGCTATTTTTTCAAACCGCCTTAACGAAAAAAAAAACGGAAGATGAATAATAATAAAAATATACATTTCTCACCGACGACGACGATGACGACAGCTAGGACGCACACTGTAGCTATGGTTGCGGCGGCGGCGGCGGCTGCGTCCTAAAACCAGTTGACCAAAGTGCATCTCCGCATAGACATATTTAATGGATAGGTACCTAATTCAAAAAATGATGATTTCATTTTGGGGTATCTACCTACCTCACTCTCCTGCAGTCCTGCCAGAATGTAAATTTACCATTAACCAAACCAGTCTGGGACATTATTAGTTTTTTTTTACTTCCATTTTCTCTACTCTTGGGGTTCTTTTTTTATCCTATTATTAAAACAACAGTAATTTATATAATGTATTA